GGAACAGGAAGAGGCGAATAAGGCAATAAAATTATGGATTTGAAGATGACCTTCCCTGTGAAATTGCTACATAAAAGTCCTCTGTTCTTCACAAGCTGACAGCCTGTCGAGAAAGAGTCAAGAAAGGCAGGCTGAACAAGATTCCTTTTCTCTCAAGGCCTTTTATCCTCTACCCCATACCAGCCTTCAAGCTGTCTTATCACCTCTGATTTTTAACCCTGTTAGCCAGTTAGAGTCTACAGAGCCACTACACTCATTTGAGCTGAAGCTTATTTATCTCTCCAAACTTCTGAATTTATTAGGCAGCTCAGCACAGAAACAGTTCGTAGCTGGAAGGGAGGTTTTTAAAAAAATGAAATAAAAAACAGAGATAATAGATATGCCGTGTTGATTTAGAAAAATAGCTCTAGGTAGACTTTCAAAATAAGTTTAATAAGCTGACTGAATTTACTCACTTTCTGAGTTTGCACAATCAAACCAACTGGGTTCACACAATAAGCAAAATTATCTTCTCCCAAATTAACCAAGGTTAAAACTAACCAAGCTTATTATGCTATGCAAATACAGCTACTAGATCTTTAACCAACCTAGTTTGGCATGTTGTGGGTATCCAATCTCTGGAGGGCAGTTTTAAAACCGGGCTGGGGGGGGGGGAATTAACAAGCCATTTGGTAGGCACATTTACACAGAAGTATTCTTGTCTTGTGCAGTGTCAGGAAAATTTATCATGCTCAGGGATGGGAGAGGAGATGTGATCCTTCCTCTGTTAACACAAGAAAGAGAACAAGTGTTTCGTTTACTTTCCCAAGAATAAGTTCACATACCTTTCCTCCCCAGTTACTGTTATATAGGCTTTGATTGATCTCTTGGCTCCAACATAGATACTTCATCTGCATACTATGCCTGGGGGAGGCTCCAAGGTAGAAGTCCCTTCCAATCTACCATCAGGCATGCACATACACATTTCCCATTATTTGATGGTTTATTCTGCTGAGCCAATTAAAATGTGACAACCTCTCTAAGATAAATACTTTAATGCTCTAGCAAGGGAATTTATAGCCTCTTGGCTTTCACCCACATTGCTTCCCGCACCTCTGTGAGACATTGTACATTCCACGTTTGCGACACGCACCGTTTTATAACTTTCAAGAGTGCATACATCCAAGAGTCTGTTGGAATCGGGCAGCATCCAAAGTGAATACAATTAAGTAAGTAAATAACAAAAACAAATGCAAGCAACCACTGCATTTTCCCCAAAAAGTTGCCATGAAAGAAAATATTGACAAGTGACATGGCTAATAGATCAATTTGCTGGAAGACAGTCTAAAATATTAAAATGTATTTAATTAAATGAATTAAAAGATAAATTACAATTTCTACACAGCACTTTGCTTTCAAACTCACAAACAACTCCTGTAATTTTCATTCCATGATACCCTATTAAACTGCAACCACTGCATTATATAAGCGATGTTTATATAATATGCTTAAGTAGGTCAGGGCTACATTTGCAAATCATATTAACCTTGGCTAGATTTTGGTGACATAGTGTGCTATATGATGCTGGGCCATTTGGTTAGTTTATGGTTCTCTGCATTGTGAAAACCCAAAAATTGAATTAATTCCGTAACCAGGTTATATATGTTGTACAAACAGTCTCACATGGATGCACCACATGGTCCTCTTATGTTCAGCTCCATTACCATCATCTATCTGAAGATCTCCTGGGCCTTGCCTTTTTTCCCTGCAGCCCCTTATTCAACCAACTGCATCTCAAATCCCTCCTCAGAACCAACCTGTTGCAGCACCTGCCTCTGGAGTGAGGTTCCCCTGAGATCTGGTTGACTTTTACCTGCTTGTGTTTTGCAGGGCCTTGAGGACCTGGCTCTTTGCCCAGGCATTTTGCCTAAGGTGGATGAAGCCCCTTCTGTGTAGCATGCATCTGTTTTCATTGTCGTCCTGTTTTCCCATCTTTTGACTCCCTTATTTTTCCTGTTATATAGTTTTGTTATTTTTTTCTGGTTTTATACTTCGTGAACTGCCCATAGTCACTAGGAGTTGGGTAGTGTAAAAATTCAATATTATAAATAAATACCTTAAACATGAAGCCTTTGGCATGGCCTAATTTCCATACCCAACTATAATGATGCTAATTAATAATAACGATCATACATCAGGCTAAGCAACAGCTTACATAAGTAATTACTGTCATATTTATAACCCACCTTTCCCATGGGAGCTCAAGCCCAAATGTGGGATACAAAAATCCAATCAGTAGGTGGCATCAAACAGCCGTTATTCAGATTTCTACCTCCCACGTATGGTACTTCTAACTCCATGTGGTTTACATGGGTTTATCTCACCTATCATTCTGCGAGAAGATTGGGCAGAGAGAGTGTGACTTATCAGAGTCATTCAATGAGCTCCGTAGTTGAGTAGGAACTTGAGGTTGGGTCTCCTCAGTCCAAGTCCAACATCTTGACCATTAGATTATATTGACTAGTAAATCACAATTGGCCAGGTTCATGCAACATGCTAACCCCAAAGCTAATAAACTATATTTGTTTACTATGTTGAATAAATCCTGTCAACATGTAATTAAAGTAATTAAATATTGGTTTTCACCTACTGACCTAAGCCACTGCGGTTTCTTTCCAAATCATAGTTAAAAAATCATGATTCAAATTACATGAAGCCACAAACATACAAACTGTAATATAAATTGCCACGGTGCATGAATCCATATCTGAGTGATATCATGTTGGATTAGAGGATCAACAACTAGTTGAAAGCAACTAAAAAGACAACATAATTGTTGTGTGTTGTTGTGTTGTGTGAACCTAGCTATTATTTCCCTTGTCTCTTTAGTTGCTTCCCCTGTTTCAAATTTCAAACTTCATGGATATTGACTTACTTTCTTTGAAGAACAATGTACAGTATATTCATGGTACCAAAAAATAGGTATAATAATCATATCACTCTTTGCAGTGATAGATGAATTAGTAATATGAGAAACAGAAACACCATTCAGGACAGAAACATGAATGGAAAAAGATCATAAGGGCACAGTTACCCATTCATATAACCACACCATTGTAGGAATGAAAGAGTGGCTAATATAGAAAAGAATAACTCGTCTCCACTAAAGAATGTTGGCTATACTTCCCTAGAAAATCTATTGTGTAATGTTATCAATAATTACTGCTTATTTACATTATTACTCCACTACATAGAGATCCCTGAGTGGCTTTAATAAACCATCAAAACAATTTAGATACACACATAAAACTGTAACATCAAAACCAACCTAAACACAAAATATGTAATTCCATAATCTTAGTTCCTGAAATATGATTTGACTATTAACCTTACATTGCTTATAAGTACACAGTGAAAGGAAAGAGGACAAAATCCAAACAAATTTCTTTTCTTTAATTGAAAATCCTAACTATTACGACTGAAAGAAAAAATGAATGGGTGAAATTCCTATACTGTTTCTCTTTTACATATGATATAAAGGATTCCTCAAGTAGAAACTCCTGGCGATTTCACAAAGGGTTTTGACAATAGCATGGAACTGGTTTGCATTTGTCTTCTTTCAGAATATGTTTCAATTTTCTATTCTACCTACAGCCCTAGTATTACCTGGTGATCTCCCTACTTAGCTTTTTAAAAAAATCATTAAAATAATTTAATTCATTGGGTTTTACCGTCGCCCAACTTCAAAAAGACACTGGATGGCTTACAATATTTAAAATGCATAATTTAAGATACATACCAAACTGCATCAATAACTTTCAAAAAAATCGACCCAGATGCTGTCACATTATCTATAGTGGCATTTAAATGTGCCTAAAATTACACTGTAAAACAAAGAGATGCTTTGGAATTTGAAACTAAGGAAGAAAACAACTCTTTAGAAAAAGAACTATTTTAGGGGGTGATTTTTACAGCCCACAGATACGAACCACAATGATAAAACAAGCATCACAACATTATGATGCAAACCTTGGCCTTTTGTATTTGCATTCTGATGTTGGATGCAAGTAAGTAAGTCATGAATTTCTATCATAACCTTGCAAAGCACGTTTTGACAACCTCTCCCTGCCCGCCTCATGCATGGAGGCCTAACGGCCAACCTGGCAGCACTCAGATATGGATTCATACACCATGGTAAATCATACTGTATTAGTTTGTGGCTTTGGGGTTTTAAAAAATAAAGAAGGTTTAAACAAACCATGGGGCTGTAAACTGTGCTAACCCAAGTTACATTTTATCTGCTGGCATACCAATTAGCTTTGTATTTTTCCATCCCAGAAACAATATCCTACATGCTTTGTAAGCCAGCATATGAAGCCATAGTTTATCATGGCTTGCTCTAAACTTAGCAGCTGCAGAAAGGAGGAACCTAGATACTGTGTGCCCTTCTCGGAGGGAGCAGCACGAAGCGGAAAACTGGGAACTGTAGTCCTGCACATCTACAGAGTACGTTCGGAGGCTGCTAGAGTCGGTCCCGCTGAATCCAACGAAGCTCACTTCCGAAGTGACTTACACATGCATCCGTTCTTAAGCGAAGCGGAAGGCAAACGCCGGGTTTACAAGAAATTAGGTCATTCCATTATCGCCCCAACACAGGAGAAGCGAAGCTTGTCCAAAGTGGCGCGCCTCGCCTCTCAGGACCTCCGGCGGCTGAAGACGAGGGGAAAGGAACGCAACCGCTGCGGGCGCG